TGGAGGGGAAGTTGGAGGATGGCAGGAATGGACTACGGAAGGGATGTCCGGCACCCTCCGAGAGTCATGGCTGCCAACAGACCTCGGAAAACAGCTGCGGGGTGGTGGTGGCTGTTGCTGAGCAGGTGAAAAATTGGAAGTCAAAGTCTGTCACCCACTGAGGACTTCCATGTGCCGGGCCTCTCCTTAATCCTCAACAACAGTCATATGAAGGAAGGATGTTGGTCCATTTCACGGATGAGAAGATTGAGGCTCACCGTCTCAGCTAGTCCACAGCTAGTAAATGGCACCAGGGTACAAACTCACCTCTCTCCAGCTCCAGCGCCCTGTGTCCTCCTGGGAAGAGGCAAGGATAGTGGACCATTCACATGACAGGGTCTCGGCATCTCTGGTCTCAGCCTGGAGCTGCACACCAGCCCGAAGTCCATTTGAAGTTAAAGCCAAGTCCCTAGAACTATGCCCCCCTCTCCCCACAGTTATCTTGGCTGAATTGTGTCCCCCAGCACTAACTCCTGCCCATTTCACTCAAGTCTTCCATTTGAAGATGAGGTATTGAGCAGTGAGGATAAGAAAAGGCAGGGTAGCGGGCTTTGGGGGCTCCAAAGGCAGGTCAGTGGGACCTGTGGGGGGCACAACCCCCACTCCACTCCTGTCCCTCACATCTGCCCCTTAAGAGATTTCCAGTCTCTTATCTCCCACTACCCAGACTACAGGTCAGAGCCCCATCGTCACCCTTGTTTTAAATAACGTTATTAAAATATAACTTACACACCGCCAACTTACACTCATTGTAAGTGTACAATTCAATGATTTCTAATAAACGTATAGAGTTGTACAACCATCACCACGGTCCAGCTTTAGAACATTTCCATCATGAAAGTTTCCCCCTGCTTGTGTGTTAGACCCCACTGCCACTGTTTTCCGTAGGCAGATGTGTTTTCAGTCTCTCTAGATTTCTGGATTTCTAGTCTCTCACTCATGATGTGCCACGGATCACTAGTTCATTCTTTTTTATTGTTAAATAGTATTCCACTGTGTGGACGTGCAAACTTTATCAGTCTCCTGTTGGTGGACATTTGGGTTATTTTGAGTTTGGGGCACTTATGAATAATGCTGCTGGGAGCAGTAGCCTAGATGGTTTGGGGTGCACTTAGATTGTCCTTTCTTTTGGGTAGATTGCTAAGAGTGCTGGTGACATCATCTCCCCCTTAAATTGCTGTGGAAGTCTTCTAGAACTGTCTCTCCTGACTCCAGTCTCACCTCTCTCCAATCCAAGCCCAACGTTGTCCTCATAACCATCTCTCTGAAAGGCACACTCAGTTATGTCTTTTCTCAGCATAAAGCCTTGCAAGAGCTCAGAACAAGGTCCAGAGTCCTGACCCTGAAATATATATACAGCGTTCTCCCTGGTGCCACCCCACTGCCCCCTCTCGAGTAGCCCTCTCACAGTGGGGCTCACGCCATCCGGGGGATGTCATTGTATCCACAATATTCAAGCCCACTTAGAAGGCGCCCAGTCAGTATTGTTGGATGAATCCATGGACCTGGTAGCTGTGTGACCAGAGCTTTTCAAATACTGATACAACACCCAGGTATTGGGCCACCAGACCCTGGGACAGCTGCTAAAGAGGGTCAGATAAAAGCATGGACTAGGACTCCGGAGGCCTGGGTTGCTTTCCAGCATTGATTTTAGAAGTTTAAAGAGCCTTTCTCAAACATTCATGGCCAAATTCGGAAGGATGCTGTAAAGTCTCTTTGCCTTTATATACACAGTTCTCCCAGAAACGTATTTTTCTTACGTGGAGCAGACTCCTCATCTGCTTGAAGAACTCCTATTCATCCTTCAAAAACATGGTCTGCCATCACCTCTTCTGTTGATACCTTGCCTGTTCCCTCCCACCCAGGTAGAATTATCATTCCCTTCCTCCTCTGTGCGCTGCATTTTGTATACATTTTGATCCGGGCATGTTTAAAATTTTTTTAATGTTTATTTATTTATTTTTTCAACGTTTTTATTTATTTTTGGGACAGAGAGAGACAGAGCATGAACAGGGGAGGGGCAGAGAGAGAGGGAGACACAGAATCGGAAACAGGCTCCAGGCTCTGAGCCATCAGCCCAGAGCCCGACGCGGGGCTCGAACTCGCGGACCATGAGATCGTGACCTGGCTGAAGTCGGACGCTTAACCGACTGCGCCACCCAGGCGCCCCTAATGTTTATTTATTTTTGAGAGAGAGAGAGAGAGAGAGAGAGAGAGAGAGAATGGGGGAGGGGCAGAGAGAAGGAGACACAGCATCTGAAGCAGGCTCCTGGCTGCGAGCTGTCAGCACCGAGCCCAACGCAGGGCTCAAACTCATGAACTGTGAGATCATGACCTGAGCTGAAGTCAGACACTTAACCGACTGAGCCACCCAGGCGCCAAGATCATGGCATGGTTCACAAATTATTTGCTTGCAGGCCTGTATACGACACTAACCTCCGTGTCACGGGATCTGGGGGAACTACCTCCCATTTGCCTCTTTATCCCAGGGTCTTGGCACACAGGAGCTCAATGCGGTTTATTCTTTAACTGAACTGAACACTCTCAAGCTTCTGTTTCCCCCGTTGTCAAAGGGGCATGACAACATTTGCCCTCGCCGCCTGAAGGCATTTTTCAAATGAGAGTAAAAGGACCAATAAATAAAAATCCCTTGAAAACGAGCATGAGAGGCTCCATGAAGGCCGAGTCCAAGAGATGCTGCTTGGCCAGAGCCTCTGGTTACTCACCTGGACACAAGTTGGCCTCACTTGGCTCAGGAAGTGCCTGGGGCTCTCCTACGCCTTCAGGACCATCACTGTGACCATGGGTGTGGTTGGGGGGGTCAGTTCAGAACGGTGATTAAGAGCTCATGACTGTCTAAAAATCTGTCCTCATCACCCTCCAGCCCCTTCCCCTGTCTTGTTTTTCTTCCTTGTCCTTATCACTCTGGCACATCATCCAATTTAGTGATTTGCTTGATGAATGTTATGCTGTGGCAACAGCGGCTGTTTGCCCACCCAGATCCTCTGGCCCATCCTCTTTGGTCTCTGGCCAGATCCCGCTTCCCAGCCCCTCTTGAGGTTGAATGTGGCCACGGGACTAAGTTTTGTTCACAGAAAAGAAAACAAGAATGACGGTTGCCTCTACCCCCAGGCCTAGGCTTTAGCACGCTGGTGGTAGTCCCTCGGTGCTCCCTTCCACATTCCTGCCCACTACACAGACACGGTAGCAGTCAAGCTCCCTCCAACCAGGTGAAGACGGTGTCCCAGGTGCTGAGCAGAGCAATGGCTTGGAAGGAACCTGGGTTGTCTCCAGTGACCATGAGGGGCAGGGCTGCCCCTCCCCCGCCCCCCAATCTGGGAAACACGCCTTGAATTACTACTTGAGAGAGGAATCTACTTCTTTGTTCCTTGATTTAATACATCTCCAGATCTCTTTGTTACAGCAACCCAGCCTTCCCCTAACTAATGCACGCTGATGCTCTGAGATAGCTGGGACTTTGTCTTTTTTTGTTGTTCACTGCAGTGTTTCCACTGCCTGGCCCATAGTAGATGTTCGAGCTCAAATTTGCTGTATAAATAAATGAAGCCAGATGTCCAAGTTTGAACCAGGGACAAGCCATGTTACCCTAACCCTGTGGACCTCAGTTTTCTCACCTGTAAAGTAGGGATAGTTATGGGACCCAACATTCGGATTATCAGCAAGATTAAGATAATATAGTTACAGCCCACAGAGCAGTGCTTCACATATAGCAAGCCCTCCATGTTAGATACCGTTATTATTAATTATTATTGTAAAGATGTCATGTTCCCGGCACCCTTTGAGGTCTTCAGTAATATTGAAAATGATTTCATGTCAAATGAGAAGAAATCTCAGGGAAAAAATGAGCCAAAGCAGCTAGGAGAGCAGATGTGTCCACTTTTGCCAGTGGCTGGCACCAATGAAGTGTATTCACCCATTAATGGCTTGCTTCCTGAACTTGGGGAGTGATGGCTTTGGAAAATACATGCAGATTTATGCAAATCACATACAAATTCCCATAAAAATAGCCTCCGGTGTGCCCCCGCATTTACTAGAAAGAAGTCGGGTGGCTCTACACTATTTGTTCCCATCTGCCCTCTCAGAAATTCCGACACACCTGGAAGGAGAGAGGTGCGTGCACGCACGTGGAGGTGTGCACGTGGGGCACGCGCAGGGCTGTGTGCGGTAAGGTGGGGGGAGGGCAGGAGAGGCTAGCGAGGACAGCTTAAATACTGCTGTGCAATCAGAGATGTGTGGCTCGTCCAAAATAAACTTTAAAATGCCAGGCTCCGAGGGCCTGCCTCCAATCAGTGCCTCCACTCTGCAGCCCCGCGCCCGTTACTACAGACCCCGCTTGAGGACACGGGAGCCACAAATGGAGCACAGGAACCTCGTTCCTGGTTTGAAAGAGCTCGCCAGCTGTGCAGAGCTGAGCCCTCCGAGTCTTGGTTTCCGTTAAACGGACACAATGACCCCTGGCCTGGTCACCCAAGTGCTTTAAGGACTATCTGCGATTATGGGTAGAAGGGGCTTTGCAGTCTGACAAGTGGTTCATGAGAGTGCTTGGGACCACCGTGCTTATTACTGTGAAGGAAGATGTAGGCAAGGGGCAGAAGCCACAGGGCCACGGAGCAGTCTGCAGGCCTTGTGGAGTTGAACAAATAGTTCTGTGGCATCATTACAGAGACCCATACCTCTTGAACTTTGCTTTGTTTTATATAGATCTTTTTTTATGCTTATTTATTTTTGAGAGAGGCAGACAGACAGAGACAGAGTGTGAGCTGGGTAGGGGCAAAGAGAGAGGGAGACACAGAATCCGAAGCAGGCTCCAGACTCCAAGCACTCAGCGCAGAGCCCGACGCGGGGCTCGAACTCACGAACCGCTCAAGCTTTGCTTCAAAGCTTTGGAAAGCTTCAAATACTTCCATATGGCAGAATCATTCATTCATACATATGTGCGCTCATTGATTCATTCAGCAAAGACATTGGGCACCTGCCCCAGGCAGGGCCCTATGCTGGGTTCCAAGATTCAAAGATGGCAAAGACACAATCTTTGCTCACAAGGACGTTTCTCTGCTGTGTCCTTGCTCCCAAGGACCTCTTTCTTCTCACACCAGAGCTCACTAACCATCCAGCAGGGGAGACAAGTACGTCATCAATAACTGCCATGCCGCATGCAAGAAACAATAATAGAAGCCTGGAGAGCAAGAGGTGGAAAATAGAGAAGATTTGGCCGCACCTGGGAAGGTCAAGGCCACCTGGAAAAATGCATGGTGTCTTCCAGGGTGAGCAGGAGTCTGCCAGGTGGGCCGGCAGAGGGAATGCTGTGCGCCAGGGTACAGAAGCATGAAGCTACATGGCCATGTGCTCCAAGATCTGATTTGGGAAATATGGCCAACAGTGTCAAGATGTGCCTTTCCCCACTCACGCCAGCCCAGGCATCCCTGACGCCTCCAAATGCCTGTGACACTTACGAACCCATGAGATTTGTGTGGTGGTTATATTATACAGCGAGTCCTTGAATGGCTTGCTGCCTGCTGCTCCCGTGTGTCCCATCTCCTCAAGGGGACTGTGAGTCATCTGAGAATAGAGGTTGTCTACTCCATCTCTGTCCCTCTAGGACCCAGGTCAGTGCCTTTCTTGTGACTATTAGGCAGGCAACAGACGTTTGTTGCGGGAAGTGTCCAAACGGACGACAGTGTCGGGACATTGCTACTTTTGAGATGTTGTGCCACATGCGGACTTGTACATTATCTCATTTAATCCTCCCAAAAACCCTACGAAGTGGCTACTACGAGTCCCCATTTTACAGATGTAGCAACTGAGGCTTCGCGAGATTACTTGCAGATGAGATACAGCTTCATCCTGGTGAACTAGGATTTGAATACTGGGTGACTGGCCCAAGGACCGATGCTTTTAGCTCTGACTCTACCCAACTTTACTGCCCTTGTTCAGTGCACTTAATAAAACAGTATGAATTGGAGTTTTACAGACGGGCATGTAAGTCCTAAGCTCTGACCAAATTGTGGTTATTTCTTCTCATGGCTGCTGCCTAAGCCATGGCTCCTAAAGCATGTGCCTGTTCTGTCTTTGTATCCCCACAACTAGCACGGCACCTATTCTCCCAGGTTGGAGAATAAGGGGACCAGGGAATTGTCTGGGGGCAATTCTGGAAGGACTCCTCGGAAGAGGCCAAGTTTCTTTGAGCCAAACTGGGAAGCTGGTGAGAGGCAAGACAGAAAGAAGGTGTGTGCGAAGGCTTGAAGGTGGGTGTGATCAAGCCATTTGCGGGTGCTGCGTGCTTTTGATGGAGTGGAGAGGAACTAGAAATGTATTTGGAGGAGCCCCCAAATCCCAGACTACTTTAGGGGCGTCACTGGAGCACTATGTGCTACACACACAGTTGCCTTTCCCTCCATGAGACCAGAGCTGAGGCCAGTTTTGGAGGGATGACAGTCCTTGCTCCCCGGAAGAGGTGGATGGACATCTTCAGGTGAGACACCACTGGAAGCTATTGATAAACTGGTAGGTTAGTTGAGAAGCATCACCCGCAGGTAGCAATGAACTTGATTAAACATTTCTTCTGGGCCTATTATGCTCTGGGGCTGAGTCTAGGAACTGGGTCTACATAATGGCCAGGTATTCCATTTAGTGGCAGAAGGTAAGTAAAGTAACAAGCAAGCTAGGTAATGTCAGGTGGTAATAAAAGCTTGGAAGTAGGTGAAACAAGATGGTAGCATAGAGAGTAACTGGGGAGAGAGTGAGGCCAGTGAAAGCCAGTCCAAGGAGGTGACAGTTGAGCTGAGGAAGCCTGGTGACCAAATGGCACCAGCCATGCTAAAAAGCTGGGGTGTACAGATGAATTAGAAGCACAAAGGATCAGAGTGGCTAGAGGGTGGGGAGCCAGAGGGGGAGCAGTCCCCAAATGGCGTGGGAGAGGCGTGTGGGGCCAGACTGCACAGGGTCTGGTAGGATTTTATGCCAAGTGCCACAGTGTATTAGCTAGCTATTGCTGTGTAACAAGTTACCCCAAGAAGTAGCACTTTAAAACAAAACACGCTTTATTTTTACCTCCCAGTTCCTGTGGGTCAGGAATCTGGGATGCCCTCACCGTGCCCTCTACTTCAGGGTCTCTTACAGTCAACCATCAAACTGTTGGCTGGGCTCGTGTGGTGGCTTGCTGCCCATGTGGTTGTTGGTAAGTTTCAGTTCGTCACAGGCTGCTGGTCTGGAACCATCCTCACTTCCTTACCATGCAGGCCACTCCAATGTAGCAGCTTGCTTCATCAAAGCCCACAAGCCAAAGAGGCAGCAGAGAGAGAGAGTCTGACAGCAAGACGGAAGTGACCGTCTCTTGTAACCTAATCTTAGAAACGGCATCTGTCACCTTGGCCATATCCTACTCATTAGAAGTAAGTCATGGGCCTTGCCCCCAGTCAAAGAATATCAGCAGGGGGCATCACCGGGGAGGTCGTGTTAGAAGTCGGTTGGCCTCGGGGCGCCTGGGTGGCTCAGTCGGTTGAGCCGCCAACTTCGGCTCAGGTCATGATCTCGCAGTCCGTGAGCTCGAGCCCCGTGTCGGGCTCTGTGCTGACAGCTCAGAGCCTGGAGCCTGTTTCCAATTCTGTGTCTCCCTCTCTCTGCCCCTCCCCCATTCATGCTCTGTCTCTCTCTGTCCCAAAAATAAATAAACGTTAAAAAAAAAAAAAAGTCTGTTGGCCACACACAGAAGGCCACTGGAGGTGTCTAAGCAGGGAGATGACGTGATCTGATGTATATTTTCTTTTTTTTTTTTTTTAATTTTTTTTTTCAACGTTTATTTATTTTTGGGACAGAGAGAGACAGAGCATGAACGGGGGGAGGGGCAGAGAGAGAGGGAGACACAGAATCGGAAACAGGCTCCAGGCTCCGAGCCATCAGCCCAGAGCCCGACGCGGGGCTCGAACTCACAGACCGCGAGATCGTGACCTGGCCGAAGTCAGACGCTCAACCGACTGCGCCACCCAGGCGCCCCTGATGTATATTTTCAAAGGATCACGTTGACTTTCTTGAGTACGTGCAGTGTGGGCAGGGGTTGGCAAGAATGGAAGCAGGGAGGCCAGTGGGGGCTTCTGTGTGAGATGATGCTGGTTTGGACTAAGGAGGTAACAGTGGAGAGGCAGAGAAGGACAGCCAACGGATAGGAGGGGTCGGGGACAAGCACAGAGGAACTGAGCATGACTCGTGAGCTTGCAGTCACATGGCAGGATGAGGGTGCCTTTGACTCCTGGGACGCACGCTCTGTGTTTCTTCTCCCCCTGGGAAAGAGAATCCTCATCCTCCTCTGGCCCTCCCCAAGGTCACACGTTCGCTGGACGGTTAGCCAGCATCAGGAGCACCGGCCGGGAGCACAGCACAGATGTCCCCTTGTGCCGGGCTGAGGGACTGACCCCCATGTCCTCGGTCTGATTAGTCTGCCCACGCTCAGACCAACCAAGCCAGCGAAGTGGGGGTGTGTGTGGTTGGAGAACCGCTCACCTGGAACTGCGCTGGCAAAGTCATTCAGCGCCCCCTGGTGCGTGCGTGCGCGTGCATGTGTGTGCGTGCGTGTATGTCTCAGAAGGTCTACGGTTGGAGTGGGGAATACGGTAGAGGGAAGGGAGAGTTCTGAAAACCCACCGTCAAGTTTTAGGGCGTTCCAAACAGATACGTTCCAGAGAGACAAACACGTTCTTCACCTGAAGAACACCACCTCTGTGGGTGAAATGAGAGACGATTACGTGGCTGCCATTTGTTGTGACGGCCCCGTGGCCAAGCACTTGACAGATACCTCACTTCATCCCCATAACAACCCAGTGAAGCAGGCACCAGGATTACCCCATTTCACAGATGGGAAACCCGAGGCTTCGGGAAGTTAAGCAACTTGCCCAAGGTGACAGAGCCAATGAGTGGGAGGGCCAGGATTTGATCCAGGTCTGTCCGACTCCAAACCCGCGTTCGAAACCCCTACCACCTTACTGCCTCTCATTTAGGCCGATTGAAGATTCGTTTCCTGGCTCGAGGGATGAAACTAGGGGCAGGAGATCTTCTTCTAAGCGGGTCCAGGCTCATCAGAGCTCTCGTCAGCCCTGACCTAGTGGTTAGGAGACGGAGCAGTCACCCCAAGAAAGGGTCCAGCCCTTACCAGCACAGGCAGCGGATAGCGTGAGAAAGGGTGGGTGGGGGGGGATATGGAAGAGCTCGGGGTTGGCCAGTTAGTTGGGGGGACAGAGTCACAGCAGTGTCCATGGAGCAGGGAGCCGGCTCCATGGAGTCAGGCTGTCCCAGGCTGTCCCAGGCACAGCCTCCTTTCCTGGGGCCCTTGGGGTGTCCTCACGCCTCCTTCCCAGGTCAGCCAGGCGCTCATCAGAGGCAACACCCACCAGTAACCCAAATGACATCACCAAACACCAGCCACACTCATCATTCAAACCTAGCATCCGCTCCTAAACTCAGACTCCTGCACATACCATACTGGCATCATCTTGCTTACAATTTAGGGCCTGGGATTTTGGCTCATTTAGAGGTCTGTCTGCCAACCAAAGGGAGAAAACCTCATGACCGGATTGTTTCTGTTTACGGGGAGCAGGCCCCCACATAGGAAATTTCCTGGGGGGGGGGGCATTGTGCACATAGCTTCCCAAGACCCAACCTCACGGGGAGACAGATATGGGGCACTTTTAAAACAAGGCGGGGAGGGCTCCGGGAGCACAGGAGGAGTGGGGAGCTCTGCTTGGCTAGTTGGGGAAGGCATGACATCAGGTTTTGAACACATCAGAATACCTTGGGTATTTGCCACCTCTTGAATAGGAATCACAAAGAAGGAGCTGGCTGACAGTCTCTGAAGGTCTGTCCCTGTCACCTGCAACATTTTCCCTCAGGTTGCAAGAGGCCCCCTTCCTGGGGCAGGAGCAGGGTGAGCAGAGCAGCTGGGGAGTCTGGATGCCTGTGTTCTATTTCCAGCAGCTATCACTGACTCACTGTGTGACCTTGCTGAGGTCACAGCTATGTTTTCTTTGCCTGGGGAAAATCAGAGGTGGCAAAGTTTGCATTTCCCCAAGGCATAGGAGTCCTGGGACATTAGGGGCCCCTCCCTGCCCCCCACAAACCCCAACAGAGTCTTCTCCCACTGACATTAATGAAAAAGGCTTAGATTTAGAGTCGAGGGACTTTGGGGGAACACTCAAAGCAAGAAGCAAAGAGTTCCTGCCATAGCAAGACTTACGGCCTCTTTTTAATGTAGCGTTCCTCTAAATACGCTTCAGATCACGTCCCCTCCCAGTATTTCCCCACGTGGGCCTTACATAGTCTGTGGAAGAGGAGAGGGAAATTATTTTCTCCCTGGTTTCACGATGAGGAAATCCAGGCCAGGAGGGGGTATTTCTCAACATTTTTCATTACCGGGAGCCCCTTTTGTTACGTTACCACCCCGCATCTCCGTTTTGCAAGCCCTTGCTAAGTAAATACTCTGCATTTATTAAGTAGGAATGCATCTCTGTTTTCATTCATCAAAGTCATCCATGAGTGCCAGTTTCTGCTCTGCACAAAAGAACTAGGGCTACCGTCAAGTTCATCACCAAGAATTCCAGCATTGGCTCCGGGTGACCTCTTCACAGGTAAAGGTCCAGTTCTCACCAGATTTTTACAAAACTCTGAAAAGAGTTCACCACCAAGGGGCCCAAGGACCCCAGGCGAAGAAGTACTTCCCCAGAGACATCAAGGGGCCCGTGAAAGTTTCTGTGGCTTGTGGTGGGGCCAGGACCGGGGCCAGGAGCCTGACTCCCAGGCCAGGCTTCCAGCAACCACACGACTTTGGTAGGAATGGCTGGCACACACTGAGACACACTCACAAGGTGGCCGCCACCAAATGCAGGTGTCCCAAAGCAAGGATGCTGAGGGCTCAGCCCGGTGACAAACGGGTTCTCCTGGGGACTGCAGTGAGCAGCCGAAACCAAGCCTGAGACTGGAAAGGGGGAGGAGGTAACAGATCGGTGCAGGGTGTTCCCGGAGAGTTGCAACAGGGGGACCTGTCTATTCTGCCACCTGCCTGTGCTTTGTCTGACATTAGAATACTACCTCATTTATGCAGCCTGGGGTACTCTCACCCACTCTAGGAGGATTCGGATTATTTCTCCCTGCACCTGCCTCTTCAAGGGGATGATGCCAGAGCGGGGGCTGGACCCCTGCACCTGGGGATGATAAAGGCAAGCGGGGGACCCTGGGAAAGCAGGGGCACAGAGGATTCAGGAGGTCTGGAATGGTGGCCTGGAGTACAATCAGAGAAAAGAGCTGCAGGGCCCCAAGAGCTGTTCCCTGGAACTCTTATCCATGACCGCTCCCCACCCCCCCACCCCCACCCGCCACCACGCCCTGGTCTTCTGCAAACACTTGTCATCTGTTGAGCTGGTGGCTCAGCCCCAGAGGCTCAGGTTTTTGATCCATCGGAAGGCATCAAGACTGCATGTACCTTTGGAAAAAGGCTGAGGCTTAGCTCTTACGGTTTTAGAATCTGAGCCTCCACCAGTCTGTGTCGGGCCAGGGACCAGGGCAGGGTCTCCGGGGGCCTGTTGCCCAACAGCTGTTCCCTGGGTTATTTTGGTTCAGTGGGAGCTTATCAATTCCAGCGTATTTGGATCAAGAGAGCCAACAGCAAGACAATCTCCGGGTGGTTCTCTGGGGACGTCTCCAACATTTCTGAAATGAGGGGGGGCGGGGAAAAGAATTTGCTTGGGGAGTAGTTTCCCCAGGAGGGAAATCTCCTGCCAGTATCATACCTATCACCTTCTCCAATTTTACGCCGGGGTCCAGAGAGGCGGAGGCACTGGAACTGAGGCCACACCCCTGGGGAGCCAGGTCTCTGACCCCAGGCCACAGTGCCTCTCCGCTGGGCCTCGGGCAGACCAGCAGCCAGGTCGGATCGTGCCAAGGGGGATTCCGGTTCCCGACAAGCTCCGGCCAGCATGGAAAGCGCTGACTGGCCCTGGCTTCCTTTTGGGCTACAGCGAGGGGGGTGGGGCAGGCAGCTGCCCGCCTCACTGACCCCGAGTGCCTCCCTGAGATGGGTCGAGTGCGGGTGGGCGGAGTGAGGCAGGAAAACGAGCCACTCTGGAGCCCCGCCCAACCCTAGGTCAGCAGCTCCTGGCTTGGCCTCCCAGAGCCCGCGGGGACTGCCCCCGGGGCGCAGAGCCAGAGGGACCCAGGCCGCGTTCCCTTTGGCAACCGGCCTGGCGCCCGGGGAGCGCGCTTAGGCACCAGGCGGGCGCACGCCCCCCACACGCCCTCTGGAAATCGCCGGGGTGGGGGGCGCTCCGTAACCGAACTTAGTCGTCGAGCGCGCTCCTGGCAAGTCCCAGCGACAGGTCTTATTGCCGGGTCTCAGAAAACAAGCGGCCCCGGGTGGGGCCGCTTCGGCGAAGTCCCCTCGGCAACCTCTATCGCTCCCGCCTCTCCCTGGGATTTTCCAGCGGGTTAATTTCCTGTCCGGGTAAGTCCTTCGCGAGTGCTCGCCCCTCCCTCCCCGACTCTCCCCTGTGCGTCCCCGCCGCCCCGGACTCCCCCAGTCCGTCCGCGTCGCGCTCGGTCGCCCCCGCGCGCCCGGGCGCACGCCCTCCCCGCCCCGGCCGCCCTCCAGCTCCCAGCGCC